GGCGCGAACGATTAAAACGGGGCCTTAATTGGCCGTAGTGAAGGCTCCTAAGAGAGATTTGCACTCTTCATCCCTCTTCGCACGTTCGTCTCTTCCACTCCTCTCGCCATCTCTCTTTCTCTTCATATCTACCCTTCTCACTTTGTCTTTACCAGTCTCGTATGCGGTTAATGCTAGGCGATAAATCATGTTAACTCACGTAAGTAGTAACTAGTAACCGATTCGCGTTTGTACGACTCTCGTGAGATATTGGCTATTACGTGAAGTTATGGCGAAGATGCGCGACTGATCTTCACCCGCTAGCTACGAGGTTGCAAACAATCCTAGATCACCAAGTCTTCAGACCCTGAAACATACTACATCGATAGAAAAAAATTGACGTAAGATTTAACGATACTGACGGAGAATTTCAACAGAAATATACTAACAGAGTAAATAGTAATAGTGTAAATATAAATATTGATTTCGTCGCTTATGAAAAAAATTTAATTTAACAACTTGAACACAAGAAGTGTTTAAATTAATTTTTTTTGCATTATATTGTAACATCACAAAGTAGACTTTCGTAAATTGGTAAATTGGTAAATTTACCAATTTACCAATTTACGAAAATCTGGTCTTCCAATCTTTCCCTTTTTTTTTTTATGAATCTACCTGACGGCTAGACATGCCATCTAGATTGATGCAAATATTTTCGAACAAATACCTATAATGATCTTCAGATTGCCAATTAAATGATTTTTTTTCGCTCTGTTTTTAGTAGCGATTTTTTCCTACGTAACATTGTAGTATGCTCAACATTTTCTGTCACGCGAAGTTATATAATTGCCAAAATTGGTAAATTGATCTTTCGTCGTCTAGTGTTCCAATCTTTCACTCTTTTTTTATAAATCTACCTAACAGCTATACGTGCTATCCAGATTGATGCAAATATTTTCAAATACCTATAATGATCTTCAGATCACCAATTAAATAAATTTTTTCTACTATGTTTATCAGTGATCTTTTTTCTGTGCAACATTGTGCTCGACATTTTCTCTCACGCAAAGTTATATAATCAATAAATTAATAAATTGATCTTTTATTGTCTAGTCTTCTAATTTTTCGCTTTTTTTTATGAATCTATCTAATCTAATGATCAGACATGCTATCCAAATTCATGCAAATATTTTCGAGCAAATACCTATAATCTTTAATAATAATCTTCAACTTGCCAGTTAAACCAATTTTTTTACTCCATATTTATTAGCGACTTTTTCCTGTAAATTATATTGTGCTCGACATTTTCACGAAGTTATATTCGCGCTACGGCTATGGATGCTTAAAAATCATATTTAGAAGGGAATAAATTAGCATTTTTTTTTTCTAGGAAATATTGATATTCTACAATTCACCTTATATATAACAAATAACGAAAATCTTGTTTAACTAAAACTTTAATTTTTTATTCACTAATTCTACTATTTTTTAATATATTCCATTCGCTCTTATGTACTTAACAGTATAGTGCGTAGGTGTCTGGCATCGTCTACCTACCACAAAATATATCCTTAAATAGCCACGGGGCTTAAATAACAACGTCGTCTAATGCAATAATTTACGACGAACTAAAGTACCGCGAAGACGCTTTTATGCGAAGCGAGAAAGAGCGCCGGCTGATTCTCCCGAAAAGTGGAATGCCTGGATGAAAGGGACCCACAAATTACGCGCGTTTCGTCGCATTTTATTCGGGTCGTGTCTTTGGGCAGGCCCCCGGGTTCAATCCTGGGTCGGTGATTACGAATTTCTGGGTTCGAATGGCCAAGCGACTAGGAACCATGTGCCATCCTTTGCCAGGACGACAACGACGACAACGACGTCGACGACGACGACGACGACGACGACGACGACGACGACGACGACGACGACGACGACGACAACTGCGAGTCACAGCGAGGATGAGGAAGACGGAATTGTCTTAAGCGCCAAATTGCACGTATGCTAAGTGGCCGCGATTCAAATTATTATCATCTTCTAGCCACGGGAATTGCTATTCCGAGAATGATTACACAGAAACGTGCCGCGTTTATACTGTTTCGCTTTTGGGAGCCTCACGACAAGAGCAGCTTCTCCTCTCCTCATTTGAATGATTTAGAGACTGCCAGCGATGCGCAATTCTTTATAATTCCTCAATATCTCATGTTAGATATGATTTTCTAAAAATGAAATCTTTCGCAAATCATTGATAGAATAAAAAGATAAGAAAGCGAATATTTTAAATTTTATAACTGATAAAATGAAAATTTTTAACTAGTGTCTACTTTAAATTGATCAAAAAATTTGTCGTTAAAAATAATTTAGAAATGAGATTGTATATATTTAATAAATCAATATTTTGTACGTTTTGAATTATGTAATTGTAAAAAGCTATGCATTATGGCTTATCATGTTTTTCGTATTAAATTTCGTAACTTACTTTTTTTTTAATTCACTTTTTAATGTTTAAAAGAAAAATATATAGCAAAATATGTAGAAACATATAATATCAAAAAATCTACATTTATTATATATTACATTTATTATATTTATTTAGTATAAAATAAAGAATGAGTGTATGAGAACCTCTGTGGAAATGATAGAGTATACAAAGCAATTCGTGCGATCGATTAGAGATGATTTTTGTAATACATTATTAATTTGAATACCTCGCGATGAATTATTGAACGGCGCGATTACTCTAATGCATCATCGCATGTTCTTTCTTTCTAAGTTCCTCGTTTCTTGTTCATAAGTGCGAAATCACTTGTTCGTAATCGCAGATCACTAATCTCCTCCGTCCATCTCTAGTAAAAGCCCATATTTATAATCGCCAATCAGTTCTAAGACGGTTGAACGGATGAATCTCGAAAATCAGTTCATATTCGCAAAATTCGCCATATATTTGTCATCCTTTTAATTGCAATTCGGACGAGGAACCTGGATAACATTTATCCTAAGGCATACTGAAGCTCGTTTCCAGTTAGAAAGCATTATCGAATAGTTATCTGGAATCCTAAAAATTCGAATTAGACCCTATTGCCAAATATGAGGAAGTGTCGCACCGCTGGGGGCCTTCCTGAAGACTACGCGAAACACGCGGTACCTCGATTTTGTAGGTGGGTCCAATAGAGAACACAGAAACTACATTTATCCTCGAGGACCTGGGTAACGTGCTTGTCCCGAGACTGAACATCGCGCACCGACAATAATTAGGGCTCATAATATGGCCCGCGGTGAGGATTTCAAAAAATTCTGAAGCACCAAATCAACCGGATTCGTCGAATCGACAGATGGTCCCGACAGACGCACAGGAATTCCGTGGGTGGATCCTCGCCGCGGGAACGCTTCCCGGGGCACAGGATTAGGTCCAGAGATCACGGAATTGGTCGTCGCGACGATTGCCTCTTTCGCCTTTCTTCTCTTTACTCCGACTTCGATAAAGTTCGAAAAGAATTCACTCCAAAAATGACACGTACAATATAAAAAATATTTTTTTTTTATATAATCTTTAATTATTTCTTATCATATTATATTATTTATCCAACTTTATCTTCCAAAATCTATACTTTTCAAATTGTATTATTGTGTATATATCTTGAAAAATTATTTTTAGAATAGACTTCACACAAATTTTTATATAATCTCTTTCTTATACGACTATTATTTGATACTTTTTTTTAGGGCAAACAAAACTGTTTCAATTCTACGAAAATCATGCGAACGAATTTTTTACCTGTTCGGTACAGTCAGCAGACGTGATATATTATAGCGGCAGTTTTTCCATAATCAATAAAAATAAGTTCTATCTACGCGCCGAAATTGCCGGTTCTCCATTAAATGATTCTCATTAAAATTTTTGAGACTAGAACAGTTTACATTCGCGTATCTTTACTTCACAGAATCGGACCCATAAAGCGCTAAATTCGGCGCCACAGGTAATACATGCGGGTGGAAGATTGCATGATTACAGTCATTATGGGAAATTTATAAAAAATCGATCGAGCTTTCATAGCATGTATATACATTACGGTACGAACCCACACGCCGGCATAATTTCTCTCTTACGGCGACCTCTAATCGGTCCGATTACCCGAATTTCTGAAAAACTGACCCGAATGAGATCGGCGGCGTCTCCTAGTGAAACTTTGATGGGTTCTTTGGGGATGATTTTCGTTATCATCAATACGATCATCTTAATAACGTAAATTTTTATTGTTTAAATTAGACGTGACATATTATATCGTATCTACAAGAAAAGTACAAAGTTATAAGTTATGCCATGTATATATAGTACGTTATGCAGTAATACTCGAGTATGAGATAATGAGAGAATTTTATTTTAGAACGTTTATGAACTCGTGTTTGGATATATTGTGAGATGAGGGAGGTAAAATTACTATTGTGGAATAAGGAATATGAGAAGGGGAGGAAGAATAAGAGCTCACAAAAAATACAAAAATAAATATAAATCGCCGAAAGCAGTCACGACAGAAGGCACGATAAATTGCTACATGGAAGCAGATGCTTGCATTGAGTCGCTATTAACAAATAATCGCTTCCGTCCCATTCTGTTTGCCATTGTTATTCTGATCTTTTCTGTCAATCATTACAAAATACGTGAAGCAGGAAAACAAAGTTCTTGGTTAGTTAATAAGATATGACAGAGTCGCTAAAAATGTGTTTTCACAAATGCAAAAATTTCGTAACTCGATTACATTGATTGTCTTTACAAAATTTTAAATCTCTGCCAAAATCATTTTAAAAAGTCGCAACTGGATGACAAAAACAGTCAAGAAACGATTGGAACATTCGTAACAATTTATTTAATCAAAAAGTTTTTTTTTTAAAGGAGAGAAAATAATTAATTCTAGTAACAATTACTTCACGAAATCTTGAAAATGATTGAATGCTAAAGATCACAAATTTTTTTTAGCAAACGGTTAACTTTAATCTTCTATTATTCACCCGTTAATTATCTCCTTCCCTATCTCCTTGAATACATTCGCCATCTTAAAATGTGATTTGTCCGTACGCTGAAAAGATATGCTAACAGGACAAAGTAAATTTCGCTTTTAACAACATTGATGTTGAAGTAGGGATAAAAAAAATAATGATATGCTTATATCGTCACTCGACAGATTAATGATCAAATCAAAGAATTGCCGAGTTCAGTTGCTGAACGTGTATTTACAAAATCTTCGTCCCATGTCCAACCATCGAATCACTATAATCGATGAGAAAATTGCTTTCGACAACGCAAAATGATGCGCACTTTCTCTCTTTTTCTGTTTCGCTGCTACTGCGAGCTTTGGCGATTGCGACAAGCAACTTAAGTCTAATTGTTAGTCCTTACGACTTTATATTACTAAAGAATACTATCTTCTTTGCGCGAATCGCGTAAACTTAGTCACATATCGCGATGAGTAATTGCTTGACGCTTGGATAAATTCTCTTGATTTATATTATTTTAGTCCGTAAAAAATAGCGATTAGTATATGAGCATACGTATATAATTTCTTTCGCAAATACACGAGCACACATATATATATATATATATATATATATATACATACATATATATATATACTATGTACTAGACGCGACTGTATATTTGGCTTGTGAGTTGATAACATGTAAATGGAAGTATGAGCATCTATGTAAATTAAACGCGCGCGCGCAATAAATTGTGGCAATAAGTATTGCAACAAATTAAGAATAAAATCAGTAAACAAATATTTCTATTGAGACGTTGTGAAACGATGCAACGACGCGATAGTAAGAGCGAAAGTAAGAGAGCGTTTAAAAACTAAAAATTAAAATGTCCTTTGTGAATATTCTTAAAATTTTCTTAACTTAGCTCAACGTATCTACAATACAGGCATCTCTGATTATAACGAAATTCTATTAAAACAGACTGGGAAAGGGGATATATCGCATCGTGATTCTATTAAGTATGTGTGCATTGTTCTTGAAAAAAGAACATTCTTCAAAATCTGTAAACCTATTATCATGTTATGCAAAAAACAGATATTTAAAACTGACGATGTAAACGATCTCGCTTCGTGTTGCTGTAAAACAGTATTGAAGCGAGGGATTATTCATCCGCAGTCTTGTGACTCCCGATTAAATTCATAGCTAAAAACAATCCTATCGATGCTCGTCCTCCCATATCGCGTGGTTTACGCGTTCTTTATTCCCTAGCCCAAGTCTTCAAAGCGTGTTACGTTTTAATCATTTAAATGCTTTACTTTCGCATCAATGTTATAATATTACGCTGCGAGTTAATGACACAGTCGTATAAATCAAAGTTTTAATTGGTCATTTAAAGAATAATTAAACTGTGTGAATACGTCAAAGAATATCGTTTGAAATTCCATTTTTTTGTGATTATAATCTCTATAGGATCATTTAAGAATCGAAATTAAAGTCTGAAATTTTTGTGGGATCAATTCAATGTAAAAAAAAAAAAATCAAATCTAGACAATATTGTCAAAGATGAATTACTATGTTAAAATGTTCTTAAAAGAACAGATAAATAAATAACAGTGCGTTATTATATCGGGACTTTAAACAGGTGGTAAAGCCCACAACGTTGCAGTTTTATCAGCGGAAGTACTGAGAAACGAGAACTCCGTAGGATGCCAACGTCCGGAGATGACTTTGTCCTGATGTTGAGCGACTACGACGCTAGGTAGAGGCATTGTAAGATCGCCTGCAATATATATTTCATCATTGATATTACTCGGTTGTTACGATACTTGTATTATAAGTAAACTATTTGTTTCAATACTGTAATATTTCTAAGAGATTAAAATCAAAAGAGAAATTCACCTTGCAAGTCTGTGAGTACCAATTTGTTATCATATCCCGCCGTCAGCAAGTAGTACGCCGACGGTGAGAATCGTATGCTCCTAATATCTGCCGCGTGAGGTTTGAAGCACTGTACCGTTCTACCGCCGCGAATGTCGAAGAGAACGCAGCTACTGTCTTCGTGGCCAGACACCAACAATCGGCCAGACGGATCTACGCACAGCGCAGCTACGGGACTACCGACCTGTAATGGAATCAAATGCTGATCAGACAAACAATACTGCTTCTATTCTTGATAATCAGAAATAACGTCCGATAAACATCCGATTTAGATAGAAGAAAATAACTAATTTTGTGCAACTGAAAGAGATGCTGGTGCAATTTAATAATGAAAATCGAATATTTATCGGACGTAGAATTCGATACGATGTCGGAACAAAATAGAAAGATGTTGATGATGCAAGGATTTTAAATAATAATAGAATTTTAAAAAAATATTATCCATTTTAATCTTCTCTTTCTCTCATTTTTGATGATCACTACAAACATATCGACAGAGGACTCGACTCACCCGGCTGCCAGGTACCGTCGCAGGTGTAACCATATTGACGCAGCTTCTCGTCCTCAGATCCCAGAATCTGACTGTTTTATCCTGCGATCCGCTCACGAACATCGCTCCGCCCCAGTTGTAAAGCGTCAACACGTGGCCACTATGACCACTCAAGGCTTGGAAAGGTGTCCCGGTCGTGCAATCGGTAACATAAATTTTGCAATCGCCAGCACCACCGCTGATCAAAAGGCTCGATTTATTTGACGTATCCTCGAGGAAGCACAGGTCACGCACTGTACCATCGTGCATAGTCAATTCGACCTCTTGCCCTAAAAATTAAACGTAAAAAATACAGAATCTTGTAATGATAGTAAGAGAGATATTAATTATTAACAGATTAATATAACAAATCTGAATAACAATTACAAATTAATTACATTCTCTTGCTAAAGAATTCCGCAATAATTATATGAAAAATTGGATCCCCGTGAAATGAATTAATTTTCACATAATGTAGCTTATCGTGTAATGAACAAAAATATCATAAACACAAAGCTAAATAACAATGGATAGCTAGGATACTTTAAAGATGTAAAACTTGTGTTCACAAAGTATATCTGATACACCATAGCTTAAAAGTTATTCATTATTTAGCCTTGTATTTATGACGTTTGTTGTTCATTACACAATAACTTATATTATATGATTTAATTAACTCATTTTATCAGGATCTAATTTCCATACAATTAGAGCGAGATCCTTTCTAAATTATGAATTATTTTTCTATGTTTAAGCTACAAACTCTGCGGTTTTGTAGTTTACTGCTGCTTTCAAAAATGCAAACAAAGAAATTTAGTATTTGAATGATAAGAAAAAATCAAATTTTTTTATAATAAGATGCATCTAGTTAGAGAGAAGTTTTTTCGAGAAAGAAACATTTCTTTCAAAGAAATAAATCAAATAAATTTTGTTATATTTCAAAAAATAACGTTCAAATTAAAAAAAATTTTTTTTAACCATAGTAAAGAAACATTTCTTTGAATTGAAGAAACCTTTCTCTGGATGAAGAAATCTTTGTGAGTGTACTTTCGATTAGCAATAGTACCTTCAAGATTCGACGTATCGGCGTTAAAGCGCATTAACTTCACAGTTTTGTCATTACTTCCGGTCGCGATCAGCCGACCGTCCGGTGTCCACGCAAGGCAGTATATAGAGCCTTTGTGATGCTTCGTCCTCTTGAAGAGAACGGTAGGTTGATACGTCTGATGATCCTCCCTGAAAGAGGAACACGAAATTCTATTAAGCACGTGATGATATGCAGCAAATATTTCGACAATTCACAATGGCATAAATCATCTGAAGAAGGAGATTCGCTCTATTCCACGAGCCATTAATCTGCCTCAAGAAGGAAGAATGCTCGAGTTCTCGCAAACGTCACTTTCATCGAGCTGTTTTCCTTCCTCGTTTCCAGCCTTCATTAACCGCGTCTCTAATTGAAGTCGATATTGTGTACACCGACTACGGGATCCACCGTGAAAACGAAAGAGAGGCTCGAGGATCTCAAAGAGACGACGCACCACCGCTTTCACGGCGCCAGTTCTTATGCAGATTTTAATTAAGCACTGCTCTTTTCCCACCACACGCAACCGACGCGTGTGAGATCGCGATCGCTTACTCCTCTCCTCCCACATCTGCTGATCAAGATATTCATCCATGAAATCTTCCCCGATGTTAATTATTATTTGTCCCCTTGAATCTGTTCGACTTAAGCATGACGTGCGAGATTAACGTCACTTCTGCTGCAATTTCCAGTGAGTGCCGAAGGGGAACGACTTTCGAAAGTGACGATACGATTATTCGCAGAGGCGGTTTCTCCGGATAATAACGACATAATTGGAGAAGTATTAAGTGATAAAAATTATAGCACAAGTAAATTACTGTATACAGTTATTTTACAAAAATACAGATGTAGTGATGTTAGAAATTCTCTCTTGAAACATGAGATGAGAAATTTTGTAAAAAAGATTCTTATACTAAATAAAACTAAAAAATAAAGAATTTTTTAAATTCTAAATTTAATTTTTAATTATTATTATTAATTATTATTTAATAATCAAAATCTAATAAATCATAATAATTATAAGTATGAAATAATTGCAAAATTAAGTCTTGCTATAAATTTTAAACTTGATGAATAACTTTCTTATGGCTTTGTGTACACTTCCTACATAATGAAATATCAAGAGACAATTGTTAGAATGGAAATAGTAAATTAAAAATGTCGGCAGGAAAGAAACTTATATTCCTATTTGCTAGAGCAATTGTTTATAACCTTTGAAAAAAAAACGCTATCTTTTTTTATATTTTGATAGTTGACACAAAAATTATGCGAAAAAAGAAAAATACAATAAAAAATAGAAATTCATGACATGTAAAAATATACTTTCACTTATCAATCGGATGTATGCATGTTCATTATGTTTGCATGTGTCTATATATGTTAACTATAATTACTATTATTAGTTTTCACAATTTCATTCTCTAGCATTTCTTTTCACTTGTACAAATTAAAATTATACAAATTCTCACGAGCTAGAATATTTAACGTGTAATTTATGTATTCACTCTGTTTTATTCTTGAGCAAATATCTTTTTTACAATCATGACAGCGCAGCACTCGTCAACAATGTTACCTCAATCAGGAGCACAAGCAATGAAACCGCAGACTTACTGTCTGTAATACAATGACGTAAATGTCAACGGCGTGAAGTGATATCTCAATTTCAAGTCGAGCAATGGGATTACGTCGCTCTAATTGAACAATCACGGAGTCTCTCGATAGTCATCTCGATATTCTCACAAGCCTCGCTCGTATCAACATTGACTTTTGCTCCTATCAACACCGACTGTCATCGAGAACAATCTCTCGGCGCCTCGTAATTTTACGCAAGAAATTACGAACGCGTGCGTATCATTAACGCATAATTGCAGCAGCGTCTCTGATAGAATAGTCACGTACTTTGGGACATTAAGCGGATTTTACGAGTCATTTATTCTCACACTTCTTACTGTAACGTTATAGAATATACTTATAAGGCGGTGCTTGAGAAACACTTTGTATTCGATGGCTGTCCAAGTAATAATTTCGAAAGTTACGCAAGACGCATGCGTATGTCGCACTTTAAGTAATACGGATAGGTATAAATTTTCTACGGTGCAACGGTAATTTATTTCGCGTGCGTAAACTTTCTCGACGCCAACGAGAATCGTTCCGCGCGCGAAACAACAGCCTGAACGGAGTACGAGGCTGCAAACGGACAAATGGAAATTGTTGCGCGTTATTGACTTTGGACACAAATTACAGCTCGTTGAACTTACCGGAACATCGTAATACAGCGTTAAATGAGCACTACCGTCAATTGCCGTACATGGAATATTCTGCGAGTGAAAGGGGATCGTTTGTTGTCTACCTTGTAACGCAAAACAAATTGTCTTAAGGTATAACGTAATGCTACCTCAAAAAACGAAATTACAATTCCATTCCAAGTATGATTTTTACCTTTTTATTATTCTTAATTATAAATTCGTTATTTATTCATCCGCGACTGCTTTACGTTCTCCGGTTTTTTTTTTATCGCAAACTGACGTTATTTTCTATGATCCATTTTCATATGTTCTTTTTCCGTTCATTAAAATTTCGAACTAACTGGTCTTCGAATTAATTTGAACTTTTGCAAAAATTCTCGAATTTTTTGATTCTTAACGCGTTTACAGTTGAAAGGCAATTATAAGAGCAAGAAATCGCATTAAAATTATGCGGAATTATTCTGAATTGAAGTACAAATGTGATGGCAGGAAAGATAAAATATTGCGAATCGTGTGTTCAAGACGATGTAAACGGAAACAATGTGTTACAGCATGGTAACCGGTAATGGAAAAAACTGTACCGGCAATTCACATTCGCTGAACACGCAGGAATGCTCCGTTTGGCATGAAGGCCTCCGCCGCTCGTTAGGCCAGCACACCCGCGTAAAATTAGTTTAGCAGACGCGAATTTATACTTGACCAGCCTCAAATTTACATACGATACAGCTCTTTTGTTACGTATGAATGACAACAAACATGACTTGTCGGTTATAATTAAAACACCTCATAATCATATAAGATTATTCTTAACTTTCTATGAAGTCCATTTAATATGTATCCTTTTTTCTTAAATAAACCAGATTTTTTTAAATGCAACAAATTAGCAAAATTTGCAAGAGTCTTGTTTCTCGTTAATCATTAATTCCTAAAACGCTAGAAACTAATTATATTATATTCTTGGAAGCTGATTGATGATACATTGTCACTCGGCAAAATAATCACTACTAACCTGTTTTCCATTGATGCAAATTTCAACCTGAAAGGTTAGCATTTGTAATGAGAAACGGTACAATGCAACGATCCAAGTTTTTGATGCATACGTTATTGCATAAATAATATTATACGTGTATTGCATGTGCACATATTACAAAGTATAATATCTCACCAAATTACAGTTTGCAATATTTTGCGGTAATATCGAATTCCTTTTCTTGCGATAAAGAATATCTATTGCAACGTGGGAGAACGCATTTGATTAATCTCTGTTCTAATTACACCGCGGAGCGAAGTTGCGTTGATATTATCGCATCAAGATGATAGATAAACCGGAGCTTATTGAATAGCGTGACGCGTTCCGCTGTAAGAGCCGTGATTTCTCTCGCGCTTCGCGTCGGCATTTTTCGTGATGCGCTATCTCGAGATCCGAAACGTGTCCATCGTAAGTAAAAACGACGCCAAGCTCGGCTGAACAGGATTTATCGTCGCAACGACAAGCGAATTTTAGCTCGCAAAACGCGCTTATCGCAGATGTAAAGTTGTTTCATCGTCGACGATTCTTCCCGCGTGTCCCAACGACCGGATCAGCTTTTAGCCGACTTGTAATTTACAGTTATTTTCGCTGGAGTTGTTAAAATATATCACAACTCTTTCTCTTCTTTTTTTATTTTTTACTTTCGTTTTTTCTTTATAAATTATTTTTACACTCTGCATCAAGATTGCTTTAATTTGTTCTTAGAGGGCGTAGCCGTAGAACGGTATAATAAACGGTATAATAAACACAATACACTCTCTCTCTCTCTCTCTCTCTCTCTCTTTCTCTTCTTCACAGAAGCACAAATGTAAGTTCATTCGATTTTTTCCAACTTGACAGAAATCATATCTCCGTTACCTAAATTTTTCGGTAAAAAATATAAAAATAATCGCATAACATGAACACCCATTCGTTATCTTTGCGTAAGACAACTAACGATATAGTGATATCTGTAATTCATCAAAGAATGCGTATCCGAAACTGTCATTATCCAACGATACGCTGTCGCTCACACGCGATAATCAAAAGGTCTGTTGCAAGCACGAGACAGGCGGCAATGTTACGATCACGTTATTTTCGCGCTTCGATTGAGTTGCAATTGCAATTTAACGATTTCTCGAGCGCCCGGTGCGAAACGGCTTCCAGTATCATATAGGACTTCCGCCATTGATATGAAGCGCATTTTGTAGAAAGTTCGTTCCACATTAGTGACTAATTAATTAGCTATGCATATTTAAGTGGTAAACGCGTAAAACTGTTTTATTTATAAAAGCATTCAACTATTAGAATGTTCATGAAAATATCAATTTTTAAATTATATATTAATTTGACTCGAAAAATTATTACAAATAACTTAAATAACTTAAATAACAGAATTAGGTTATCAAAATATTATGAGATTATTTTGTAATATATATATAAGTTGAGTAATATATTTAAGTTATATTTTGTAATCCCAATTAGAAGAAAAGTGAAAATATCATAAACTTATAAAAAAATCCCGAATGTACAATATAATACTGGAAATTCCCCAATGATTAATAGATAATTAATGAACATGATTCTTACCTGACATCGTGTAGTTTCGGGTAAGCACATATTCGCAGCGTCTTCGAGTTCGATCCCACGGCATACAGCTTCCCATGGGGGTGAAATTCGGCGCAGCGTATCGCCTGCACGTCTTCCAGAGCGGTGACGGGAACGAAACGCGGTCTCCCGCCGCCGTTGCTGCTTCCATTGCTAGTCTCGAGTTCTGGTCTCGGTTCTTGCTGCAAAACGAGATGTGCGATCGTTACTCAATTTGATATTAATAAGTAATTATCATCGTGCGAGCGAGCGCATGCAACTAATAATATGCCCGTTGCAGCGTGGACGATTAGGAGCCACGCCGTTGCAGCTCTTGCAAACGGAATGCGCGCGGAAAAGATACAGCTATCCTGATACAACGTATTGCTTTAACGAGATCTAATGAATGCCTGCCGGCGCAAAGCAACTGTTTTTATTCGCGGAAAGGACAAGTACCGCCGCAAGTTGCGGATGCACTTCTGCGTCCGGTAGCCACGATGAATATGGAATACGTTGCGGTGAGATGAACGTAATATTGAAACAATAATCATTACATTCGATATTTGCACATTCTCGGTGCTTCCTATTCACTTACAAATTACATGTGTTAAAATTACATACACGCAGTTTATAATAGTGTGTAAATATACTTATATTTACACATATTAATTACATATATAGAAAACATTAATTTTAAGATTGATAAAAGTATTCGAATAAATAATTTAAAAGATATTAAATAAAAAATAAATACCAACATGAGCTACGTACAAATATAAATACAAAAATTAATGAAAAAGTATATATGTCATATCAAAGATTATAATATTGCTCAGGTAATGATTGAATTACAAGGATGCGAATGGTTAAACAATTTTTTTTGGAGAAAATCGTACGAGATGTTAATTAAATTCTTGATAATTAGTACTTTCGTTTAATTTCTTCGCTGCTATTAAATTTCTTTTTTTGGACCAATTAATATGCTTACATGGAGATATGCATGTTTATGTATACATAAAGAAATTTCACTTTCTCGTTTCGCGCAAGATGCAAATGATGCACACTTCTTGTGGGACAGTTATTGCTCCAAACTCGCTAAACCAGCTCCCGTATTGCAGGCGGCGAACCAAACGGAAGGCGAAAAATTCAGAAACGTTAGAAAGTTAAATCCTGAATGAATTTCTAACTCAACAGAGTTCTGCAAAAAAGCAGTTCATTTCAATATTTATGCAATAAGATAAATTGGAAAAGTCGTAATTTTCTTCTCTCCAGCGTTATTAAATAAAATAAAATGCATGAGCCAAAAGTTTTCTATTTAAAAACTAGAAAAATAGCGAAATGTGCGGTGAAATTGAATTGCAGATCGATTTCACGTAGCCGTTTTCCACATGTAATAATCATAATTCTATTTCTTCAACGTCGACAATTAAGCAACACAGTTATGGAATTACTATTCTCAGAAAAAGCTCGCAATGCTTCTTGGCGCAAAGTACTTTTTTCTGAAGCTGCAGATCCGGAATCGTTTCGCGATTCGTGTTTGCGCAACGGTGCGCTTCGCTACGCTTTTACTTTCATGGCACGAGATTGGTTGCGACCGTTTATCTAGATGGATAAATTAGCAAAGCAAATGCACACTCTGCCTGCTGTTGTTCTCTTCTTGGCAAACCGTGCAGCACGAGCGGAATTATGAGCATTCGCGTGCATTTTCACGCGGCGGCGTACGATTTAACGGCGCCAAAGTTGTTTCTTGCCAGTTGGAATGACTTACGCACGTGTAATTAGATCTTGTGTGCGTGATAAGCGCAGATCTTCGCAAAAAGATAAGATACCATAAATCGATTTAAATGTTACCAAGTTTAATCATTATTAATTAAAAAATAATTTTTTATCTATCAATTGATACAAAGATAAATTCACAAAAAATATTTGTTAAAAATAACATATAAAGAACAATGAAAGAGAGATTGCATTAATAACGATATTCAATGTATCTCTTGTTTCACAATTCTATTCTTATATGAATTAATATCGCAAAATCAATAACCATTGTATAATGATTCAGTGAATTCCTTCAATAAGAATTTTTTATCTAATCTCAATAAGTCAATCCGAACAATAAGTGAACGGAATTGAAGGGTGAATCAGACTGAATTTTTAGTTGCAATCTTGCTTGCTAATTCATTACCTTTCACCTTAAGTTATTCTAATTCGCTACGAAACGCTATTTTCATTTTGTCCAAACGGTCCAAACGTTACATTTTCTAAAGATCAAATTTTAAAACTATTCACCTTTTAGTCCTATTTGACCATCATTATTATGTCGTGAAAAAGAAAACGACAGTGTATTTCGACGACCACTCTTTTGCGAACAGTCATCTCGCAATTTACGAGTGAGAACGAGGCCATAAAGGAGAATCATCGATTGTAGATCCGAGAGAGATTCCCATTTCCGCGAAAATTCTGGCATTCTCCATGTGATCTCTCGGGTGATTTAACGAACCGGAAACGTTTCTCGATCGTAATTCTGTCGGGAAAAGCAGATGAAACGTCGGGGAAGATATAGCTGAGAAGCCTAGTTTTACCGGTCGGTCAATCAACTCGTCGGCCATCGTTATAGACATTCGGTCTTAATAGCTCTGTACAACCTTGCGAAAGCGTCTGCTACTGACGCTGTAGACAGAAACTCTATAGCCTACGGATGGATTACTTCGAGATGCCGAATGAAAGCGGGACGAATATGACGCAAATCTAGTTTCGAACATCGTACTGTTTCACATTCGATCTCTCAATATCTGTCTGTATATCAATAGAATTACCAGTGAATGAAAGTCTTATCTAACAAAACGTTAGTCTTTAATGAGATTACAATATAAACGTTTGCTATCAATATCTACACGGAAAGAATGAAAGAATTTTGCTGAAGCGTCTGAAAATTTTGTTGTGAATTGTCCAAATAACTATGATTGTTAGAATATCAAAATTGTTTACAGCATTGAATTTCCTGTAATTATTTTAACGGTTTAACAAATATGTTATTTAAATTTTTTGATATTTCAACAAGATTGTTTTTTCTATGTAGCAATAATTCTTTTTTTTTTTAAATAAAATAATCTGAACAAAGATAAAAAGATATATAATTGTTTAAAATAAAAAAATCTATTATAAATATGTATCATGTTAATCAAAATATCGATATATGTACATCCGGATTTACAGATAATTAATAATAAATAATTGACATCCGCGACCTTAATGCCTCTATAAATGATCATCTCCATGCTCTTGTAAGAAAGAAAAGATGGATCGCGAAGAATCCACCGGATACCCTGAAGGCTTTCGGACACGCGTCTCCGATCGAAGATTGGAAGGACGGATCCAACGACGCGTGACAAACATGATGAAAAACAATTAATAAAGGGGCCTTGACCTGATTCGTCAACTCCGACTTTTTACTTTTCTCCACTACATCATTAAAAAACGATATGAATATAAATATGCAAGATATTAATTATGAATTTACTTGTCCTAAATATAATACTATTTGTAATCGATAAATCTCTGTCAATAGCTCAGACAAACATTAGCAATATTGATCGCAACGATGATCGAAATTTTCACTTTTCTCTGAGAAACCGGTTGAACCGGATCTATCGTTTTCGATCTCAGACACCTAAATAGATATCCATAGAAAAAGAAAATTTGATGATTAATTTAATTAAACAGATATGAAGCATAAATCTAGGTAATATATAAAATATCATCGATATATTTCGTATAACAAAAATCGGTGAAACCAATCGACCTCTGTATATCTGGGTTACGGCACACTTTTTCGTCGTTGATCGTCGGTGTTCATACAGAAATCGAAGGTGCACATGCGTGTGCGAGCTTAAGGGCACTCGAAATTCCAACGCGTGAATTTCACCGTGTGTTTTAATACGAATTCTTTATGCGAAGTTACGAGTGCTCTGCAACCAGGAAGAGAACGCTCGCACCATCGCACATCTCCTTTTTCAAAAGCATATTACGTATAATTAATGTGTTCAACTTCATATTTAGCGCGTTACATTCAATTAATATGATTAATTGTAGTTATACTCAGCCTTCAGATTTTCTTATCAGATACAAAATGTGAAGTTATATTAAGAAATAATTTCTCTTATATTAATGAGAATAACAACCGAAAAATTTATTCAGCTAAGCGAATGCGGAAGTGAATTAAGCATCACGGATACAAACGGATGCTAAACACGTACAATTCTCGGTAAAGTTATCGAATGACGAAGACTTTTCAAGAAGTGAAATATATTCTTAAGAAGTCGAAGTAGATTAATAAAAAAAAAGTCTAATAAATTTCGAAAGTAAAATGTAAAACGATTCCAGAATTATGGTGACATTTCATAAGAGGTCACTTGCAATTAACGAGTTTTCGCACTTTTTTCGTTTGCAAACAAGATATAATTGCATTCAGCCTCAAACGAGCCTAGTATATTATATACAATATTTCTCGACTAGAGACATTTAAGTCGATTAAATGTAAACTGGTCATTTCTAGATGTAATAACTCAAATGATGATATAGGATCGCTTAAGGAAACCAGGTGAAGCTATAATGCGCGTGTAAATCCTTAGATACTGCAATTCTGATTATTAAGTTGATTATTAATTAATCCGACTATTACCCAGCTACTACAAGAGCGTTTTTATTCTAGGCGAGACTGTAGAGTTCACAATCTGTGAATGTATCATCTTAAATTACGAGCATCAATTTTCTTACGTAGCGGTAATTTCGACTCTCGAGGAAGTATCCGTAACTTTCTACCGTATGTACGAAACACACGCGACGGAGATTATAATTAAATGGTCGATTACAATGTGGCGCAAAACGCTCTTAGCTAATAGTAGACTCGCTCCCGAAGCGAGAGAGGAACTAGAAAATTATATCGTTGGTACTTTCGACATGCAGTTCGTGATCATTTACTGAGAACAAAATCACCTTGCCAATATATTGTAGATTCCTCCTTTTACTTGTCGCGAGCTAATATGTCCTGTCACACCGATTAATTGCGTAATGCGAAGAATACCTCGCTTTCACTAAAGAAACAGTCCAGATTACCGTGCATCGATCATTTCCTGCAATAATTCTAGTAATCAATCCAATTTCTCGAACGATTGTTTTTCGTAATGAAGTGTGCCCGCCGAAA